GGACCGGCAGGACTTGCCAACTTTTTGTGGGAGGATTTCAAATCAGAAGGCTTAAAGATTCACCATAACTTTCTTCCGAAGATTCGTGAAAGAAAAATCAACGGCGGTTTATTTCTCGAGCTAACTGGATGGGATTTTAAGGAATACGGAATAACATTAAGACAAGCATTAGAAGTTGAGGATTATATAAAGAGGTTGGGTGAGTAATTAATTTCGTCGTGTTCGAAGAACCAGACGCGGGGTTTAAACGACCATCCACTTAACATTATAGCTGAAAACTAACCGTCACTACCTTTGGTAACAGGTGTTCGAGAAGTAGAAAAAGAATAGGAGACCCCCTTCGCGTTAAAAAATAGTATTTTTTTATTCACATAATGTAAAGTAATCTATTCGCAATTTTTATGTATTGTAAGCAAGCTTCCGGCAACGTTTATTTCTTAAATAAAGCATATATTATGTTCTTCGTAAATCTTAAAAAATGTCACATGTAATGATGTGGGGGTGTATTTACTCCCGACCACCATGCAATATCGGGACTATAAATCTAACATTTTTATCTGAACCAATCTAGCCTATATAAAAAGTAGCATTATATCAGGTGATAAGTGAGAAGAGTCTTCACAGTTGGTGGGGCGCAGTGATTAGGCGATCATTGCACCATGCAATTGTTGATCATACGGCAGGCTTGTGAAACAGAATAATTTCTCACATATAGTACTCACTCAGTATTTTTTTTTCACAAATAAAATTCTTTTTACTCTTGTCCTCACATACCGCACTTTGAGCCAATAATATTTCGTAAAAAATACTATATAAGCCAAAAACATGTCTATCACTTTACCATGTCTCGTTAAGGGAAATATGTCACTAGTTCATGTGAACAGATTATGCTATGCGCAATATACGTCACCAGCATTTGCAAATCTATGGGGTTAGATCGTGGGTTAGATCAATAAAATATTAGTCGGGTAGTGATATTCATTTTTTTCCAGAAGATTTTGGCACAATACACATATTACAAATCTTTGAATTAGCATTACGCGGATTAATCTGATGTCCCTGATGTTAGACCGGGATAAGAATGGGAAATGAGAGTCTTGATCTGCCGATTTACAGATCTCGACCCCTTTTTTTCTCATATAGTTCGAAAAAAGAAATGTAATGCGAAGTAATACACTTTCAGAGTTTTGGAAAATTGACTGTCACACTGATAGGGGGTTTACATGTCAAACATCTCGTGTATCCTCCTTGTATCGTATGTTAGAATGAAAATGGAAATTGGGCGCTCGAATCAAGAATAAACGGTAGATTTATTTTCTCTATTAGCATTAGCTTAACATTATGCGTACTCATTATTCCGTTTTTGGTAATAACTTCTAATATGAAATTGGGTATTTCGAAGATGGTATGAATATTATTACGTTGATCAGTTTCTCCAAAATATCGGATTTTCTTTTAAGTGCTATTATTACAATTCAGGGGAGAGACATTTATTATTATTAGACGGGATCCAGGTCGTTATTATTGCTTTAGCTGAAAAATATAATCATGAAATAAATGTAGTTATGACGAATACACATAATAAAGCAACATAATTTTATTAAATCAGGTTAAATTCTCTTTTCACGAGTAGTAGGGATACAGTATAAAATAAACCTTTTCTCCAGCGTATTTATGCAAGAGAATTGCATATTAAAAAAAAAGTATATCTAAAAAACTTGATTCACCAATAAGATTTCTTAATAAAATTACTACGCCTAATCATGTCCAGTTTGTCATTGCTCAACTCTTCTGGAAGCATGCCATTTTTGGCATTGACCGCATTTTTTTTGCTTATTGGTCCAGTGTTATTCATGGGGATCATCACTATATGGTCAAATATCAAACAGAAAGTCTCTGATGAACTCTATGCACGTGCCATCGAAATTGTCAACGATCTTGATACGCCGGAAATAGAAAAGACCTTTACTGAATTTAACGATAAGCTCACCGCAAAAGTTGACACGAGTATTTCCAATTTTAAATCCATATTCATTGCGGAAATCAGAAAAATTTATGCCGAAATCGATGGTAAACTTACTGCGGAAGCCGAAAAAATCAAGGCACGTGATGATGACTTCACTGAGGAGGCGCAGAAAATTTTTTCAATGATCAATAACATAACTACGAAAGTTAATAATATCGAAGAAGCCTGCCGTAATGAATTTGGTAGAATTAATGTTGTTATCAAAAATCTCCAAAACGAAATAAATCAATCTTACGCAGTAGTTTAAAGATCAAATTTTGACCAACAAAGTGTGTCCAATGAATCTGAAGCTAATTCGACCAATGAATCTGAAACTAATTCGTCTCCAAGCTCTTCTTCTTCTGGAAGTTCCAATTTATCTGGAATTTTAGATA